CATTATTCAGAACTACATTGTTCGTGTGTGAAATGCAATAAACAGGAAACTTTGAATGATTTTACCCTTTTTGTTGAGTGTCTTACGATGCGTGTGAACGAATATCTGTGATTCTGTACTCATTCTCCTACGATGCATCATTTTAAGATGCATTTATTTGATATCCAATATTATTATTTATTCAATGACGAATCATTAATAACATAAATTATTAATTAATGATAGAAAAGATACAAGAATAATTAATCATGGTGTTCATGGATTACGCCCCGAAAAGGAAATAGTTTAATTATGTTTTCTGTAATTTATATATAGAGCAGTGACAACAATGTAAATGTGTACGTGAACATGTACTACGTCTCGTTATCAGTGGTGTGACGGATGGAAAACTAGAAAAGAACTTGCATTTGTGAATAGCGTACAATTTCAATTTCCCTTTGAGTTGCAAACTAATCTGAAACCGAAGATCTCACGTAGCACATAGCACGAAAGAAAAAATATAATTAATTTCCCTTTGAAATATTAACCCTAGAAATAATGACCTAGGACGGATATATNNTATATATATATATATATATAGAGAGAGAGAGAGAGAGAGAGATAAATATAGATATAGATATATAAGGAATAACTTAGGCAAAAGTGTCCCCCGGATATACATTTTTTTAAATGTTGACAATCATACTTGAAGTGCAAAGAAACAAAAACAATCCAAACAATTTGAATCAATTTACCCGAAGAACTTCGTACAAATGATAGATTTTTTATTTCTCATTTTTAACAAATGAGAAGGAAAAATGGAAAAAAACTTTTTTCCTTCGTTGTTTAAGAATATCTCATGTTCTGACGCAGATCATAAAAAATGCGAAATGTAATTCGTAGGCTTGTAAATTCTCAACAGTTTCCCAAAATTTCAATTTTTTTGTCTTATAATTAGCACCCGACCCCTCAATATAAACAAAACAGTAATTTAATAGTTTCTTATGTATTTGCTCAAAATTAGGTTTCTTTTATTAATTTTCGTAGTTTTTCTCATTTATGACTATTAGATAGATAATAGAAAAAAAGGGTACGAATAATATAATAACCTATTGTAATTTGAATATTTAATAATTAATTTTAATTGAAAATAATAAGTTTTGATTCTTTATCCGGAATACTTTCGTTATTTGATTTGATAAGTTATTTAATAATAATGCTATCTCTTGTTTCTCTAGTTGGCATGTATATGAAAATGCTCTGACATAATGTAAATGTTCAATAAACAACTGGTTTAGAATTGGACGTGTGCCGCAACAGCGATTTCCTTTCGGTATAAGAAGGCGCGTCGCTATAAAAACAAACGCATCTGATCGCGTTTAGTACGCACTCTGTAAGATGGATAATTGTAACTTGATTGAGATAATGTGTCTCATGTCGATAGCGATTCTGACATTTTGGTCAGACATTTCGGCTTCTTACAGCCTTCTGAATCTTGCTATACGGAAATAGAAGACGAACAACGTATGCATTTCAATGTATTTTATTTAGATATGACGTATGTGACATTCTGTCGTAAATGTGAATGGCAGACTTTTTGCATTTTGTGATGTTAATCCAATTGACGCGAGTGTCAAATATTGCGCTGTGGAGGTAAATCTGCAAATTTCGATGTGGAGCCAAATGGCTTGTTTACAAAATCTGCTCCTGGAATCAAAAAATGGTTGATTGCATCGTGTAGTCCCTAATTAACGAACATTTTAACGACAGAACAAATAATATTTAACATTATTTGTAGCATTGTTGTATTTTGTTTGTAAACTCATATTATTTTTAGTTAAAATTTTAATTAATTCAATATTCAAATTACAATAGGTTATAGTATTATACTTACAATTTGTTTTCATTATTTGTTCTGTTCTAATACACATAAAATAGAAATACTACGAAAATTAGTAAAACAAAACAAAATTTAAATTTATACATAAACTATGAAATTACTGGATTTGTGAAGAGTAGGGTCCATATTTTTTGACAGACGAATTCTAGTAACATTAATTTATTCCATAATCGTGCAACGGTTTCGGGGATTGTTGTCCCCATCAGACTGGAAAATTGAATTGAATTGAAGTTACTTACAATACAATATTAAAATGGAGAAATTATGACAGGAAAAAACTTGGCACACACATGAGAGCTCACAAAACAGATGCTTTTTACATTCACATTTTTCTACACCTAAAGTTATATTTATTTATATATTTATGTCAAAAACAGTTAAAACTGTGGCGTGCTATGAGACGTTAATCTGAAATTACATTCATGCCCAGAAGCAAAGCAAGGGGCCATTACAGAATTGCTCAAGGATCAAAGAAACTGGACGAAAACCTGATAGAGGTGGCTGTCATTGCCCCACAGGCTGAAGTACACTACTTGTTACAGGTTCTTCAGAATTATGCAATCCAAAGGAAAAATAATACATAAAAATTTCATTGTTAAACTATTCCTCGCTGTGCGTAC